AGGCTATTAGCTATTCCTGTACGGGTTGGTCTTGCTCTCGTTTTTAACAAAGAACTTTGAAAAATCAGTTTCACCTGATGTGAAAGAGGAAAAAATGTTGAAATTTCAAAAAGTTTTGCGGGATGACAAAACTATTTCTCACCCTGTGCTGGTTTACCTTGGCCTCTAATTTATACTTGCTAATTACAGGCAAGAGGTCCTTTGGCATACACCTCGGATCTTCATCTTTGAAAGATGGCCAGAATGTACATTTTACATTACAAGGCAATAAAATATTTTGATAAATATAATTGCCTAGTCAATAGCTTGAATATGAAGGATGAGATAAGTTAAAGAAATCAATAGCGTTGGTTAAAGTGGTTTACATAATATTGGCCATGGGTTAAAAACAACCTGTCAAGTAATTTAAATGACACAGATCAACTGGGTTGGAATTTAATTACCTACTTCAGGGGTGGCTGAAAGACAAAGAAATGAAAAGATATTCGGAGCTTCTGTGTTTGAATGAACTTGTCTGGCCACTGGGTGTCATCCTTGATTCAAATGACGATTAAAGACTTTTTAGATACAGCATAAAATCTGCAACTTCAATAGCAGTTAAATTCCACTCTATTTGATTGTACAGCATACAGCAAATTGTTCTGCATTTAAATCAGCTATAAAATTGAACACTTTGACATAGACAAATTCTCTTTTGTCTCACTGCTTTATTTGGAAACCTGAAATGGCTGGGTGATGTGGGAGGGGGGAAAAGGAATGCAACTGGGATATATTAACAACACACAATTTGATCTTCAAGTCTCAGTATATACAAAAGTACTATGGCTATTAAGGTCCCTACAAAAAAATTACATCTGAAAGCTTAGGATCATATTCTATTCTTATTTTTTTCACTTTCCTGCTTTTCTGACTTTGCATTGCCCTGCTTTAAAGTAACTTGACTGAGAGATGGGCTCATGTTGCAAAGTTTGCACGAAAAGTTCTACATTTCTAACATCTGTCTGGATTTAGAGCTCTGGTCCTGAATTCTGATTCGAGCCTGTTATAGAGATAAAGATAGGGCCTCGCCTCCAAGTCCAGATGCAGATCTTGATCTGAACTTCAAAGTTCTGTGGCGCTGAGACCCAGAGTTTGGCTTCAGCGCCATCTCCAATGTATACAGCAGAAATCTCTTAACTGAGTCACAAGTTGGAAAGGTCTGTAACATGTAGATATATTTGTACTTTAAAATGTTCATTTACCTCGGCATTGTACAGGACTTAATGACTACGTATGGGGAAACTGGTTCAGTAACAAACTCTAATCTTAGCCCATTCCACAAAGTCAAGCTGGTGCATTTATCAAGGTTTCAAAAGCTGAGGAAAGGGATCCAATCCCCTATGTGTCTTTTTCACACACACACCCAAATATAAATCACTCCTCCCACTCTGTCTCCAGAAGGCTCACTACAAAGTCCCTTTCCTCGCTCCTGTCCCCAACATCTTCCCCCAATGAGACCCTGACCCCTTTCTTCTCCCACCCACCCCAAATAGGCTTGAAGAGCCTTGTAGGATCCAGCAGGCCTGGCCACATTAGCCCCAGAGTGCATTATGTGTATCTGACTGGGGAGATCCTAAGAGTGAACACAACAGCAATAAGAAATGGCTATTCTATATGTTCTGTTGGGAAAACTCCACAAGGACCATAACAAGGTGACCAGGCCTAGAGTGATGGAAAAATGCAGAGATGGGCTAGATAGTTTGTTTGTCTTTTTTCAGACCTGAAAGCCGACTGGGAGGAGCAGGGAACAGAAGGTGCATCTTTTGGAGCAGACGATTTAATCTTTTGAGTGAAGGAGAAGGGACTTATACAGAGAGGACAAAGAGCAAGTAGTTCAAGGAAAATGGTAATGAGGGGAAAAGAAAGATGGGAGACCGAAAATGGGGGAGAAGTACTTGGTGGAATAGTTCAGAAGAGCCTCCAGGCTTGCTGGTGTTTGCCTCAAGCAAATAAAAACTTGTGATGATCAGCTTATAAATGGCTGTACGCCCTACAGTGAGTTCTGTTGTGAGCAATTGAGATGATTCCAAGAACCAATCAGCATTATTGTGTTATCTATTAGGAGTCTAGACAGTCTAGGAGCTGCACATAATGTAATGCAACTGGTTACAATAACATTATTTCTCTTTGAAACTAGATTTAGTTTTCCTTGTCACAGCTAAAATAAAAAAGTATCAGCAATTTCTCCAGGTGTTATATCAGAAAAGAAGTGTTTACACTTGTTGATGTATTTAAAAAATCACAATCTGACTATTTTAAAAATATATGACAGCATCTATATAACATTTTTAACAAGTATTTCTTTGTATGCAGCCAACCTCTGGTCAGAGACTATAGCTTTACATTAATTATAAAGTCTTTGAGAAAACAGATCTTCATGTAATGCTTCCTAGCTTTAAAAGTAGAGATTATAATGAAAACATGCCATTATTAGAGAACTATTAGTCAGAGCTAAAACAGTCTTTGATTTTGTTCACCAACCACAGACTAAGTTTTTTGTTTGTTTGTTTTTCTGTTTTTTTTTTTTAAGTCTAACTTTAAAAGGGAGACTTAAAAGGGTTAGATCTTTTATTGGACCAACTTCTGTTGGTGGAAAGGACAAGCTTTTGCGCTTAGACAAAGCTCTTTTTCAGATCTAAGAAAAGTATTCAGTGTTTAAATTTTAAAAGAAAATTTGATGTATTCTCTTTACATTAAACTGTCTTTTAGACACAATTAGGGTTACTTATTTTTAATGTTATAACCGTTTCCTCTTATTAGATTTCTTGGACTCTGATTTCAGGTTTACATGCAGACGACCTATTTAGGATGTGTAAATGTATGTATTAATGGAATTTAAAACTAGTATAATTTACTAAAATTCTCAGTCACCAGTTTAGCATAAAATGAGGTTAATTAACTGTTGCCTGAACTTGTATTAGCCAGTATTTAGAGAATAGCTGAAAAGTGAAATTGCCAATTTAAAAAAACCCTTCAGTCAACAAAAACTGGAAATCACAATCCATTTTAGGGCAAGCATGAGCACTTACTTTCTGTAATGTAATCTGAAATATCCCTGCATATACACTTTTAATTTCAACACCCTTATACACTACTACTTATAATTTAGGACAAAACAGAAGAGTTAAGCAATTCCATATTACAGATGCAAGAAAACAACAATCCACATGGATTTTTCTTGGTTTCATGTTATGGGTTGGATGTTTGTTTTTAAACAAAGTAGGCTTCTGATCCTGCAATGAACTCTGAGCAGATGGAACCCCACACCTCATTGATTTCAGTGGGACTCCATACAGACATCAGGAGCTGTACATGTAGAGCTCATTGTAGCATTGTGACCTTAGCCCATGACCCTGGTAAACCACTTGCTGACACAGATAACCCTTCTTCACATGAGTAATCCCATTCAAGTTTGCAGTGTTATACCCATGCTGGTCCCAGGATATTAGACAGATGGTGGGTTAGGTAATATCTTTTATTGGACCAATTTCTGTTGGTGAAAGAGACATGCTTTTGAGCTTATACAGAGCTGAAGAAGAACTCTGAGGCTCGGTCTACACTACGGGGGGGGGGGAGGTGTCGACCTAAGATACGCAACTTCAGCTACGTGAATAGCGTAGCTGAAGTTGCGTATTTTAGGTCGACTTACCTGGCTGTGAGGACGGCGGCGAGTCGACCGCTGCCGCACCGCCGTTGACTCCGCTTCCACCTCTTGCCACGGTGGATTTCCGGAGTCGATGGCAGAGCCATCGGGGATCGATTTTATCGCGTCTTCACTAGACGCGATAAGTCGATCCCCAATAGATCGATTGCTACCCGCCGATCCGGCGGGTAGTGAAGACGTGCCCTGAGTAAGATTGAAAGCTTGTCTCTTTCACTAAGAGACATCGGTCCAATAACAGATACTACCTCGGCCACCTGGTTTCTCTAATCCCATTCATGTCAGTGGGATTACTTCTGAAAGTACATATTGGCTTGACTAGGCATTTAAACTCAGCCTATATTGGTTTAAAAACTCCAGGGTTTGAAACTTGGATGCCACTTGGTTGGTCTGACTGCATAAAAAGGATTAATTCTTTCAATTGATTTCAAACTGAAAGCAAAAGTCACGGGGTGAAAACCAAATGGACTGAAATGCAAAAAAAAATCTCATGAACCTTTGTGAAGCAAAACTGCAAAGATGTACACAGCTCTATTCCTATCCCCTCTGAGGGGGAAAAAAAAGCAGCTTTTAGTTAATTTTTTTCAGATGCGGTCACATTCATCCATTTTCTTTTTGGGGGGAGGAGAGAAAGCAAAATTATTAGATGTTGCATACTGTTCTAGCTTCAACTATTAATACTTACTTATATAAGACAAGGTCCAAAACACAAACTGTACAATTGAATTCCCTCAAATTTGGGAATGAGGATTGTTGATAAGTATCCCTAATTCTGAACCCTCCCTAAGTACTCTCCGTTTCAAATGAATCTTAAGAGAACAGCCCCTTTAAACAGGAGACATCAGTCCAAAATAGGGTGACCTGATAGCAAATGTGAAAAATCGGGACGGGGGGTGGAGGGTAATAGGTGCCTATATAAGAAAGTCCCAAATATGGGGACTGTCCCTATAAAATCAGGACATCTGGTCACCCTAGTCCAAAATTGTTGGAATTCTCACAAGAATAAACTATACTTGTGATTTCCTACCCTCAAGGTATTGAGCTCAGAAGACTTCCAGTATTTGGGGCCAAAATCTCAGAAGAGAATCTTACGAAGTTCTAATATTGTTGAACCAGAACTCCAGCCCTGGCTGGACCTGGAACCTGAACCTCTAAAACCTTATCCTCAGTCAGACAAACGGAATAAATCAGCAATGTCACAAAGGCAACAGTATATTTTGACAGAGAAAAAGAGAAGTGTTTTCCCATTTAAACTTTACAACACCCCTGTGGGCTTTCTTCGATATGTAGAAATACTTACGCTGGTTTTATAGTCTGGGAATGTTTCTCATGAATGTAGGCACCAGCCAGGCCCCCAGCTCCAGAATTTAAATACTGTAAAGAATATATTAACATGTATACATTTTGCTCTCATTATTTCTCACGTGCAGCATTCCCTCATCCTCCCTGCATAAAGACAGGATGATTATACAATTTCAATAAGGCTTTTAGCTGAAGCTCTTTGGCATCATCTATTGTACTAAAGTGGTGAGCTTGTTGAAAATAGATATTGTTAAATATTTTATTTCTTCAGATTTGTCTTAAAAACCACCATACCCAAGGTATCTGCATTTACACCTTAGACAAAGCTTCTGTTTGAGTTTTGGTCCAAGGGGCCAATACAATTCCTATTTAATCTGACCCTCTTTGCCCACCGTTCATGGAGACATAATTATTAAAAACATTCTCAAATGCTAGAGCAATTCTCACCTTGTAGGAACACCAGCAGGCAAAATCTACTCCCCAGTCATGTAAATGCAGTTCTATATTACCAGCAGCATGAGCCAGGTCAAAGCCAACATAGCAACCCTAGAGGAAAGAGAGGACTTTAATAGACTCCATAAAAGTGACTCTGCAAAAAGATAAATGTATAGTTGTGCACATCTGCTCCCCATATCATAGCACCACCAACGTCATATCTGTTTGATTTGGTGATAGAAACAAGTTGTGTACAATATGTGTGTGTGTGTATCCATCCTCAAATGAATAATTTTATGGGCTTCTATGCACAGACACAATTTTAGGTCCCCAAATTTGATCTATCGTAACACTGTGATGGTACGTGTAAAAAAATATTAATAACGAATAAAAGATTGTATTTAATTAAGAGACATGTTTTGACATGCTGCAGCGACAAGGATAAATTATTTATATCAGTTACACAGTAAGGGTCTGATTTTCAGAGCTGCTAAATATTTGAAGCTCCCATTGCCTTTGCAATTTTGGGAGCTTAGCACTTATGGAAATCTGTCCCTTAGAATTTTGTAACAGGTGAGGTAACATCATATACAGTACCATGCATTTTAAAATTTATTGTACTTTTCCTTACAATATACTAACACCCCCACTCCTCCCGCTACTTCCTGTAAAGGTTCTAGGATGGCCATATCTAGGGATCTGAAAGTTTGGAATAACTAAGGAGCATGAAACAAAATGTTGTTTTATACACAAAACCACCACTAGATGACAGCATTTTTAAATTAAAAGAGTGATCTAAAATTTGTACTATAATGCCACCCCATTAAAGTGAAGAAACATAATAGCATATTTTGTGCATGAACTACAAGTTAATACTATTTTACATTTTTCTCTAAAGACACAAACAGACTTTTTACAAGTGGCATGGTAGGAATGAGAGTGAGAGCATGGCCTTTAATACATCTAAGCCCTGTAATAAAACAAAGGATTTTTTTTTAAATCTCTTTTGCTGTCTCTTGTACAAAAGGCATCTCAGCTAAATTATTAAAAGAATACTTTAGTGTACTTAATCCCCTCTTAAAAACTATCTAGCTAACTGAATGAAACTGCATGAAGCTGCTAATGAAGTTGTGGGGCTGTAAAATTCTCCCAAAATGATGGGCTGAACTGCCAGCACCTCATCACTTGTCCAATATAAATATTAATGATGGGTGAACTGAAATAGGGGCAGAGTTCAGGTTTGGTTTGATAAGCATTCTAACCTTCACATAGCAAGAACTTGTCTACACAGGAACATTCAGGATATTTAAAATGAATCAACTAAAGGAGTGAAGTTAATGTGCATTAAACACCTCGGTGAATGTTCTCATTCTGAAGTTAAGTGGTCTTCACTTTGCAGAAAGAAGAGAACAAAGAAAGCCTGTAGTTTAAAATGTCTGCCATATCTTTGTTGTAGTTGTATTGGTCCCAGGATATTCAAGAGACAAGGTGGGTGAGTTAATATCTTTTATTGGACCAACTTCTTTTGATGAAAGAGACAAGCTTTTGAATTACACAGTGCCCTTCTTCAGGTACTTCATATTGTAAAGAATAAGTTCAGTGAGGTAGCACAAGACTCCTTACAAGGATGGATCGCCTTGTGGTTAAGGCACCAGAGTGGGACCTTGAAGACCTGAATTCAGTGCCAATGGACATCCTGTATGACCTTGGGCAAATTTCATTTCCCTTTACCTCAAGTTGCCATTTCTGAACTGGCGATAATCATGCTTCCCTACCTGATGTGTGGCACAGTTATGTAAACAGTAAGACTCTCTATATATAGATTTTAAATGGCAATTAAAGCAAACTGAAAGAGCTCTCACTGCACCAACCGTGCAGGGAGGGGAGCTGTGTGGGAATGTTGCTTACAGAGACCCTGGGGAGCTCTCCATCTGCTTTTGGCAGAGGAGAAGGATATGTGGTCCCCATTGCATCCTCATCTTTATTTCAACTTCTGAAAGGCATTGTTGGAAAGTGTCTGGGCAGTTGCTGGTAACTGGCAGGTAGCAGCTCAGCATGGTCAATGACATTTGGAGAGAAAGAATTGACAGCTTCACGCAAGCACAGCTGGGACATTTTAGAAAGGAAGTCAGGAAGAGAAATGAAGATGAAGGATTTTAAAGCATTTCCTACTGGGACTAGAGAGATTAAAAAGAGTGTACACGTTGTACACAGAGGGCTAAAGGCACAGTATTTTTATTACATAATTTATTATACAAAAGTGAACTTGGAAGTTAAAGTTTCCTAGAAGTTGCCTATTTCTTAAGTGGTTCAGGAGATTAGAGAGTTAGCCCCTAAAAGCAAAGATGGAAAAAGGAAAGTAATGCTATACCCTCCACTGCCTACACCCTGCTGAGGAGAGCTTGGCACAATATGTAGTAATTTTCATTTATCTGAGAGACCGTGGATGGAAAAATAGCTTGAGGTGATTTTTCAAGCTTAATTTAGTTCATTTAATATTTAATGGCTTAATGAAGCTGTCTGTGTTCAGAGTTTTCACTCTGGGAGGAATCTTAGTTTAAGCAGAGAACTTAGGAAATGGATTTAAAAAAATTCAAAAGGAAATCAGTAATTTAATTCATAAATAATTGACCTCAGTCTTCTTAAAACACTTTTTCAGACCTTTCTGAACTTGCATCTTAAACCTCTGTTTAAGCAGTTTTAGGGCAATCATTGTGGTGTACCATTTAAACTCCATGTTTAAAAGATTTTAAAGACTTCCTGTGAAGAACATTTCCCTCTGCTACATTGTTTGACAACAATACTTAGTGGGTTGTTTTACAAATTATATTTATTTCCTTTCTCTCTTATCACACTTTCAATTTTCATTTTACATTTCCTTCTCTCTTTTCTCTTCTGTTCACCCTACTTTACTTTCTGTTCATGAGATGTGCTGGTTTATTAGTCACCAGTGTAGTGGGTCTTGCATTCTGATCTGAACATGAGATGATTACAGCTCATTCCAGTCTATTTTGGCATCCCAAAGATTACAGCTTCCGTTTGATAAAGTTTTGCCACTGGCTCTTAAGAGTTTAATTCTAGCCACTAACAGTTTCATCATCCCCAAAAGTGGCAGACAGATGTGGTCTTTAAGGTAGCTGAGCTTCAGTCCACCAAAAGCCAGAACGACTAGGGTGAGGAGTTGAATAGGTAGCCATGGAAGTACAGAGCATTCCTGTGATGTGATACTGCAAGTCTTCCCTGCCTAAATGTCACTAAGTGCTGACATGGAGGGCTGATGCCTTCAGAGGATGGGGATGAGGATGAGGTCAGCTCAGGATAGTTTTTCTAGTTATCACTTCTGTTTTATCTGGGTACATCTTAAACCAACTTTCACCCATCTGCTTATTTCCAGGAAGCATTATGCCATCTGTGTGATGGCTTGAGTCCTGTCCCCTGAGGAGAGAAACCTTTCCAAGATAGTTCATATATAAACTGAAGAGATGGGAGCAGGAGAGATAGTTCCATGCAGAACAGTACATGTCAAAGCTCCTGTGAAAGAGGAACAGTTGCTCTTCATAATCTATCTGGGATCTGTCAAAGATGAATGAGTGAAGTCAGCTCAATGCTTTCCCGGACGACTCTTACTAGGCTGTATAACTAAGTTAGCAGCATTTTGTGCTCAATGGTGTTGCAGGCAGTAGTGTAAATATAGATATTTCATTAATGGTTGCTGGTAGATTACCAAGTTTATCAATGCTTTCTTCAGATTAGGCAATTAAAGGGCTCAGATGTTCCTTGCTAGTTTTCCATCAGCCACAAGGGGCAATATTCCTCTAGGACTTTTATTTGGATGATTAGGAGCGTAAATAATTTATCTCTAAATCTATTCATAACCCTCCTATGTATACAGTTCTTCCTGCCCCTGCTGATCAAATGTGCATGCCATCTTCTCCTCTCCCCTGCCACTTAGGCCTTGTCTACGCAAGGTTTAAGAGCAGCTCATTTCGGTTTAATTTACACTAATTTCTAATTGAATTCAGCTAAACCAAATTAGGGCTGATTTAAATCAAAATAAGAGAGTTCACAGGGATTTGCACTAGTTAAACTAAATTGGTTTAATGTCACACCCTTAGGTAAAATGGTGCAACTTTCTTGAGTAGATAAGGTCTTGGTTCCCTTTTCTCCTGGACATTTCTCTCTCCTTTGTGGCTCTGGTCTAGGGGGATGGCTCATGTACCACTACCCTTTCTCTCATGTAACAGTGGCCCCTAATATATGCAGCTAGTCTGGATCCCCTCTGTTTCCAGTTGCTTTGAAAAGCTTCTCAGATCTTCTCTGTAAGGAGAAACCTGGAAACTTGTGGAAGCAGCTTCAAACCAGTTCTGTCAACATCCATGTCACCTATGAACTCTCCACAGACCACAGACTGGAAATTGCTGAAGTAAATGTCTTCAGTATTTCAGGTGTCTGAGTATGGTAGAAGACTTTGTTGACTTTGTATAAATATATAGTATTTAGATATTGTAGAGGGCAGTACCTATAAGGATCTTTGAATGTCTAAAATTTCTTGTCATGCTTTTAAGGTCTCCCTGACCAGCAACACATGAATAGTGCTTAGAACTGCATCTTTGTGTTGCATGAGTTTTCAGTAAATTTAGGATCCTGAATCCACCCTCCCCAAGTCCTGAACATTACTGCATCCAAGGGGTTAAAACACTTGACTTTCAATGGAAGTTGGCTCCTCAAGGGAGGTAGGTGCTCAACTGATACATGTCTCATGCCACCTTTATTTGGAATCATTAAAGCTTTGTAGATTCATTTGCAGACAGAAGAGACTGTATTTGGCTTCCAATCCTTGATACTAATAGGATGGATGATTGCTGGAAATTCACTGTCCTCTAAAGTATTTCTATCACATAGAAGTAATAAAACATGTGAATTAGATATATATACACACAAATCCACCAATAAGCTCTAATGGGGACATTGTACACCTTCCTATACATACACCTCTAGCTCCTAATAATAATATATTTACATATAATATACTACTTGGATTGCCTTTCATCAAAGGATATTAGGATTTTCTGAAAAACCAAGGGTCCCTTATGAAGGGACAGGATTTCATCCTAATGCTTGTAAATACCCCTACGAGCTAGGTAAATTGCTGTTCAATTAAGAGATGGGCAACATGGACAGAGGTTACATGACTTGCCAAGGTCAGAGAGCACTCACAATGCCCTCAAGAACTTTCTCATTCTGATATGAGGACTATAGTTTTTCCTGTGTCTAAGACCCATTACAGGCAGAGTCACCTTCACCTTGCTTTGCCTACTCTACAGAGTTTACTTCTTCTCTAGTCACCAACCAGAAGTTGCCTCAGATAACACTGAGATACTAATCCCAGAAAAGCTTAAACATAGTACAGAATGTATGACTAATTTTCCTAATATTGAAAATATGCAACAGTTCAACACATGCATACCTAAACACATAGGGCCTGATGCACTTAACTCCAGCTTTCCTGTGAGTGAATGCTTTCATCACCTGCAGTATAATCTTCTTTTATGAACTGATACAGTATACTAGCATTTGGCTACATCCTCTATCAGACTATCCTTCCCTTTAATCAAAAGACAGTGTTGTGAGGCTTGATTCATTAGAGTTAGCAAGGGACTAGGTGATCCTCAAGGAAGATGGTATAAAAACATAAATACTAGATCTATGTGGCTCTAAAATGTGCGGACCTAAATTCACCCAAGCCAGTGCAAGGAGGTGCAATGCCAGCTTTAAGCCTGGCAAGGGGCAGATGCAGTTGCCATTGCCTGTCCTCCCTTGCAGTTTCTGGCACAAGGGAAAGCAGCTTTATGTTGCATTTAGAAAAATTAGATTGCTCAGTGGGTGCACTCAATGTTTGCATCCCATGGTCACTGTAGCTAACTCATGGACCTGCATTTGTGCCCAAGGGGCTCAGCAGAGGAGAAACAGAAGGTATAACAACAAAAGGAAGCCCTGGTATGATCAGGACTGAAGCCTCAAAAGGGTTAACTGTTCAGATACAGCTACACTGCAGGTTTGTAGGAATCCAGTAACATCCAGTATGTTAATTCCTTGAGTATCTTAGGTCAGATAAGATATATCCAATAAAAAATGTGCCTCCTGATAAGTCTGCTGATCTCTTGTTGATAAGAAAACTTAATTAAGACTCTACCTTCCCCTGCATTCCAGAGGCAATCAAGATGGTTAAAAGAATTCACAGTAAGTCTCTAGTACACTGGCTGCAAGTTTCCAAGTCTGAGTCATTGTATTGAAAACCAGTCATCTCATGAAGGTGATATACTCAGTATCCTGCCTGTCTCCTGTTAACTGATCAGCTGAGTCAGAAGCTGTCAGCTCCACAAGGAACTCACCTTGCCTGACTGACTGGAGGCAAAATGCTGTGATAGCAGCTGCCAGTGAGTGGGTGAGAAGAAAGAGAACACAGCTAAATTCTGTTTAAATATAGAAGTCTAATGCACAGTGCTGTAGGTTTTAAGGTTTGAGATGATCATTTTCTTCCCCATTCAGAACCCTTAAGGAAGAGCCCTGCAGAATTTGATAAAGAATAATAGCCTTTTTGTAGATTTTTTTTTAACTCACCCTATAAGATTTCTATGGGAAATGCAAGAATACGATTATGACTTACTATAAATCTTTAGAGTGATTTAGATAGCCCCCCTATATGTTACATACCTGTCCAGTTCATGGGGGTGGGGAGGAAAAAGGATTATTTTAAACTGATTTTAGAGAAGTAGTCTTGAAACAATTCTACCTTTTCTTGGCCAGCCTTTGTTATTCTAGGGATGTCAAACAGCTGTCCTGTGTAGTACTGCACTCCACTCAGCAAAATTACAGCAACAGAGTCCCCTTCCTTCTCAATTATGTCAAGGATATCTTCAATTCTCAAGGTCTCCTCCCCCTAAAATAAAGTTAAAGCACATGTTTTACATCTACCCTGGCAGTAATGAAACTGTCATTTCTTATTTCACAATCTATATTTTACTATGTGCTGTGCTGCCTGCATAGGGAGATCAAAAGCGTATCCTACCACAGCAATGATCTACAAAGGTAGAGACAGGAAATAGCCTTTGAGTAGGTTACTTCAAAAAATGAAAAATCATTAGCAACTTATTTTCTAGGTGGTAGATTCTTAAAAACATTTGTTTTGCTTTCCAACGTGCTTCACTCCTCTCAATATTTCAGACAGTTTTCATTTACAATATAAAAAGATCTTGGTGCAAACAGAATACATAATGATTTTTATGTGGCATTTGAAAATCGTGACACCCAAAAGTCTTAAAAGCTGTCTATAAGGTCTCACCCTTACTTTTCAGTACACTTTTTGTTTCCCACAGGAAGCTATTCTAAATCTGCCATATTTATATTTTAAATATATATAATTTAATTTATATTTTAAAAAAGTCTGACATAATCAGAAGTATAAAAAAAAATCCCAAACCTGAAGTCATTAAATATAAAGAAATTTCAACAGAAAAATCTAATTTTTATTCTTTGTAGTAAGATTTTCCGCCTGCTTCCCCCCCCACATTTCTTCCCACAAAGTAGCATGTAAAAACACCACTATCTAGGGATCACCTAGGCAGTGAAAACTCAGAATGAAATTAAATTTGCTACTGCAAAGAGCTTGAGTAAAATTTGCTAAATTGGAAGTAACTGCTATTATCTTAACAATCTTTGAACGTCTATCAAGGATTCAGGAGTAGGCTCTCTCTCCTCACAAGATTACTCAGATTTTAGAATCCAACGTTCATCATCCATACCATAGTTAGGTGGCAAAGTTCTTAATGTTGAGAAGGGATGGTAATGCAATCTCTCTAAATAATCTGAATTAAATATTTCTTGAAGCAGGCCCTTTCCTTAGGTTGTGATAATAAAGATACAGTAAGTTGTCTTTATGGCAATCTTTTAAGACAGAAAACTATAAGAAAGATACATGCTGATGCTTCTGAATTTTGTGTTCTCTTAGGAGCCTATTGTGTTATGGCAATCAGATAATGTACTATAAAGTAACTGTTTTGAAAGATTATTTTCTTCCTAAGAGATAAGTCCAGCAATTTAAGTCAGACAACAAAGATAATATTGGTCCTTAAAGTCAGAAATGTATGGAGAGCAACAGAATAGACAATTAGTGGCCATTGATAAGTTTATCTGAAAATTCTAGGCACATGAATAGAAATAGAAGAGATGCATATACATAACAAATGACAGCAGATGCTAAAGAATTTGGGGGACAACACCTCCATTCTTGTACTAACTACACATATATAGCTAATGCTAACTACGCATATATAGCCAATGTTAACAAGGAGAGCAGAGTTCTGACATTTATATCCCTCACAAACCTTGCGTGGCTGTATCATGAGCATGCATTTCTCCACATCAAGTCCATGAAGCTGAAGCTGAGACTCAACAGCATACTGGAAAAGAATTTCACGTAGTACAATTTAGCAAAACAGAGATTTTAAAAGAAACGGCTGAGATTTCTACACACGCATCTTTCATTAAATTAGTGGGTGAAATCCTGGCCCCATTAAATTCAATGGGTCAAAACTCCTATTGACTTCAGTTAGCCAAGGCTCTTTGAAGTAAGAACTGTCTTTCGTTCTGTGACTGAACAGCATCTAACACACACAATGGGGTTCTAGTCCATGACTAGGGCTCATAGGCACTACTAATAATAATTCCACCCAATGTCTATATCTCCAAGACAGCTTTGAATATCTCAGACAATGGTTTTATCACTAAAGATACTGTATTGATAATATCTGGGGGGGTAATGTCAAATATAGTCCAACAGAAATATTGTGATCTAGATAGTTAATTATAGTACAGTGGTCTGAGGTGAGAGCAGTTGTACAGCTTATTATTGGGGTGTCAAAGGAACATAAATAGAGGGCACAGAGTGTGCACAAATGAAGTTAAAGTGAACAAAGGCAAATGTACTGTTGAGCTCTGTAGCCTAGAATAAAGGCAATCTGAACTTCATGCATCTGTGTAACTGTCTTTATTACAAATAATCCTATGAGTGGTATTTGGAGTCATTTTATTGTGCCTTAAAGATAAAATTTCTTATCAATTTCCAAGAGTTTACTGAGTTGATGATTAAGTAGCACTGGGCCACAAACTCGAAGATTAATTTGCTGTAAGCTGTGACGCACGAACTATTGTCTCCTATTTCATAGCACACAAATTATGTTTGAACTAGTAATTTAAAGTGCTAAAAAACAAGTATTTCCATCTCTGTCTAGGGATATACAAGTGTTAATGTTGTGAGTTTTCTATTGATTTGGTTTCCATAAAATAAAACAGCAACATGAATTAATAAAACAGCTACAACTTCAGTTGATTTAGGCCAGCAGTTTGTTCAATGTCTTTAAAAAGACTAATAAATCAATGTACCCATTCAATCTTTTCATCTTGTAGCATTTTTTATTTGAACGAAAGGCATAAAACTACAATCTGTAAAACATGCTGAGCTCAAAAGCATCTGACAGTTTTTATTTTTATTGTAATGGTACTTGGACAAGATTAGCTAATAAATATTCAAATCAGGCTACTGATACTCTTTCCAAAATATGATTAATAATACAAATATGGTGAAATATGAATTTCTTACATGGTCGGAGGGAAAGGCTTTGGCTTCTAGAAGAATTTTGTAACGACTTGGAGTAGGGCTAAAAAAAGATAACTGTTAAAAAAAATGATATGTTGAAACACTTATCTATGCTGAGACTAAAGAATTGATCCCCATGTATAATTTAAGAAAAATACAAACAATTTGCATTTATGTAGAGCATGTCAAAATAATCCTAGAGCACTTGAAAAATATTTAGTCTTTACAATACTCTTTGATGTAGAAAATGTTTATAACATTGTACCCATTTTACAGATTTGTAAGTATGGCCACGGAGAGTTTAAGGGTGAAATCCCCATCTTTTTTAAGATAATGGCAAAATTCTCACCGACTTCAGTGAGGCCAGAATTACACCCCACATGATTTGGCCAAGGTCATACAAGCAAATTACTGGCAGAGACAGAAATAAAACACAGTAATCCTGATTTTCCATCCCCCTGCTCAAATCACCAAGATCCAGATTATTCCCTTCTGTAGAAAAGCCTGCAGGGGGAGTGCAGAGCTTTCTGCAAAGTTCCCATATCATCCTCTCGTGATGGGGATGGTGTTTGCTGCCATCCTCCTGTAATGAAGGTTGTAGGGCCTACCTCCAAACCTAGACAATCAGCAGAAACCTAGGCCATTCATGCAGAGATTGTCTGTCTGTGTACCAGCTCTGGATCACTGCATCGCCTGCATCTCCCTGACAGAGAGACTTCCAAGGTGATGCTCCACAAAATGTCTAATACAGACCCAAGCTGAATGTCATTTACCTACATATGCTCTATCTGTAGCCACACCCACTAACTATAGCCCATCCACTTTCTACCCCCTCACGTAGTGTGAGATCCAAACTGACAGAAAAAGTGGGAGCTCTGGGACTGTGCACAGAACTTGGGGGGCTGTGAAGTGATCTGAGCCTAATAAAGCCAGCTTAATAATTCCATACTGACCAGTGAAAAGATTATTTACCAGGTGTTATATTTAGGGCCCTACCAAATTGACAGCCATGAAAAATGAGTCACGGACCATGAAATTTGGTCTCCCCCCGTGAAATCTGGTCTTTTGTCTGCTTTAACCCTATACTATACCCATTTCAGGGGGAGACTAGAGTTTCTCAAATTGGGGGTCCTAACCCAAAAGGGAGCTGCAGGAGGGTCACCCTTACATCTGTGCTGCCTTCAGAGCTGGGCGGCTGGAGAGCGGCGGTTGCTGGCCAGGCGCCCAGCTATGAAGGCAGCGCACTACTAGCAGCAGCGCAGAAGTAAGGGTGGCAATACCATACCAGGCCAACCTTACTCCTGAGCTGCTGCCTTCAAAGCTGGGTGGTCGGAGAGTAGCGGCTGCTTAATGAGGGCCCAGCACTGTAGGCAGCACTGCAGAAGTAAGAGTGGCAATACCATACCATGCCATCCTTAATTCTGCGCTGCTGCTGGCGGTGACTCTGCCTTCAGAGCTGGGCTCCTGGCCAGTAGCAACTACTCTCCACTTGCCCAGTTCTGAAGGCAGCACTGCCCACAGCAGCAGTGCAGAAGTAAGGGTACCAATACCATAACCCCCCTACAATATCATTGCAACCCTCTCCCCCACAACTCCTTTTCGAGTCAGGACTCTGACAATTACACCATGAAATTTCAGATTTAAATAGCTGAAATCATGAAATTTACTATCTTTAAAATCCTATGACTGTGAAATTGACCAAAATGGACTGTGAATTTAGTAGGGCCCTAGTTATATTTATATACTATAGTCCTTCACATGATGAGCCCATATACCATGCGTTTTTGACTTAAATTGCAGGGAAATTATTAACACCTCAGTTTCTCAGATGAGAATCTTCTTCTTGACCTCTGATGTTCTGAGAGGAATCTAAGAGCAGCTATCAAAATGTCACTCTGGAGATATGTGTGGAAACCCAAAACACAAATAATAGGTATCTGCACACATATCTCCTGAACAAGAGTCTTGAATGCTCTTTAGTCACTGTTTTATAGTGTACATGAGAAAAGATCAGACTTGTCCTTAAAACGCTTGTGAAAAAAAGCTTTGCTGCTTTGTGTTTCCTATGGGCTGAGCAAGGTACTGTATATACCAATACATAGATCAGATCCTCAAGTCTTTTGAAAAAGGCGTCGAGATCATTGTCCTGTGCTTTCTTGTAGGAACCTCCATAAAATATTTTAATTAACATAAATGAAGAGTTAAAATCTTTTCAAATTCAAGATATAAGGACTAAAGTTCATTTGACAATATCAAATTTACTAAATATTGGAGGAGAAAAAAAAGACTGGATTTACCATCTGGAGATGCAGATTAACAGTCAGGCCATTCATTAAGGCTACTTCTTCCTTTCGAGCACCTGAAAAGTAATAACACAGAAGTTTCTCTATTTTCACCCCGTGTAAAGTCTGGTAAAATGATGTAAAAAGCAAAGGCCCAGTTTTCGGGCAATATTTCTCAAAAGACTAGAAGGAATGTTTGATGTGTCATCCCACTGAAATAAAAAGTTCTCCTATCTGACTCACTGGATCAGTTGACAAAAAATATATTTTTTTCAGGTTTGATATAGCCATTAAGAGATAATGAAGTAGCTTCATTTCCCAGCAAACCACCAGTTGATTTATTGTTATCATTAATACCTTAGCCAAATGCAACAACAGTGTATGTTTGCCATAAGTACATCTCTAAACAAATATCTCTAGACAAACATATATATTAAGGAAAATCATCTATTTTTAAGTGGTTAGTATATAATGCCAAGCTAAAATGCATTCTTAATAAAAATAAAAAAGATTTTTGCAAAATATAATTAATTATTATCCACAGTCAAGCTTTTGGATTCAGCTTTGAATACATAGCTCTAAGATAACTATACAGATATATGGAGGCTAATAGGAACCTCAGGCACAACTAATGGATTTTTCCAATATTGTTCTAACTGCTTATTTATGAACCAATTCTCAAACTCCTTTCAGCTGCTGTGGAGGTTTTAGGCAGGATGAGGATATGTTATGCAGGGCAGAGCTTAAACATGAAAAATTACCAATTCCTGGCTTTGGTTTCATGTCTTTTTGTTGCAATGAATTACAGCCATCTGTACACCCTAGAGATGAATTAGCACTTTGCCAAGTCTCTTTTGCTGGAAGATGGGCTAGTCTGAGTTGCCTGATAATCTCTACAGATGTGGGGTAGGCTTGAGGAGAAGCCATACAAGAACAAGAGAGAAGTAATGCTTGAATGGGAGAGTGAACACATACACAAAGAGGAGAAGCAGATGAGAAGGACCCTGCACTATGATTCTGCCATCCGTTGGGCTCCAGAGAACTGTTCTGTTGGGATTGTCACTGCACTGGTATAGGAAAAACATAGTACTTGTGAATGGGCCTGAAGTAGAATGGTGCATGGCCAGTGGGTTTGGAAACGACATGAATTTACTGCCCCAAAACCTCTGTATAAGGGATCACATACCTGCAGTAGGCCTTATTTGCTACTACTGGATGAACGGCCAAGCACTATGCTGTCTAGGATGATTTACTGTTGTTGTTATTAATCAATCATAATTATTACAGTAGTGCCTAAGGACCAAATCAAGAGTGGGAACCCATTGTGCTAGCCAGAGTACAAGCACAGTATTAGATGATCCCTGCACTGAAGAATTTATAATATAAATAGGTCTTCAGTTGCTTCTTTTGTGTGTCATTCAAGCTGCCATTGTACGAGAGGGAGGAAACTGTGGCAAGATTCTAAAGAGTCAGGAGATCTCCTGAAGAATTCCTCACATGGACTTTCCAGACTCGGTGGGCAGAGGTTTGAAGCACTGTGAAGTTTGTTGGCGACGAGCACATCAAACCTGGTCATCTATAGGTACGAAACTACTCCACCCCCAGCCAACTTACACTTCTCTACTTCCCTTTTTTTCTCTTGGCAGCATGCTCCTGCAGGTGCCAAGCTGCTACGTGGCTGCTCACTTGCAGCTGCAGAAGGGAACCAGAGGGAGTTAGTGCAGTTCAGAGCTGTATTAATTGCATCCTTAATTTCTATATAGAAACATGGGGGATGAAAAAAGGGTAGCACCATGAAGTGATGGCTCCCCTGCCCCTATCTCCCCATCCCCATAAGCACACAGAGCCCCTTCTAACTAGGGCCACAGTGGAGCTAGAACTATCTTTTCTCAGCCTGTGCCTTGTTGTACTGTTTAACGCATGAACAAGAATGGTTGACTGCATGCCAACATCCCAAATTAAATATGACACTGTATTTATCACATAAGTCTTGGTCTCTTGTAATTTATTTATTTTAAAATTTAAAGCTTTCTTGTATTGAATTTCATGGACACAAAAAACAAGCCTCATCCAAGCTATTGGAATCCTTTATAACCTGCATTGCATTTAAGAAACAACCCTTGTATGATCCAATTAACCTATTACTATACTCAAAGACTCAGCATTCAAGAGACAAAACTGTATTTGCTATTGCTATCTCCTAACGTTGTATCATATCACTGAGACAGAATAACCCCCTCTATATTCTTCTTGATAAATCTTTTCTCCAATGAAAGAAAGCAGTGTTTGTAAAACACCATCCTTGCTACAACATTGGAAATAATTCTGATTGTGTTAGGCAATCACTGCCAGTTTTTTCCACCCCCTCCGCCTCTGTGACTGCAACAGGCATAGGTGATGGAACCAAGGGTGTGGGGGGTGCTGCTACACCCCCTGGCTTGTTGTGGTTTCCATTATATACAGGGTTTACAGTTTGGTTCAATGGCTCTCAGCACCCCTACTATAAAAATCATTCCAGCACCCCTGCCAACAGGAGTCTGGTTCTCACCAGAATAAGTAAAAAGCATTTTGTGCAATGATTGGAAAAGGCTAAAACCCCAATCCTGAAAACAGTTTATCACTCAAAGTCACTACCAATCTGCTCAGTGCTCAGTCTTTTCTCAACAGAGACCTGCCTGAGCACATTGTACAACGACAGCAATACAGTTAGTCTGATTTCATCAGAAGGTGATCCTGCCAAGATTGTAATGTTTTAATAAAGTATAGTAGGAAAAGCCAAGATTACAGTTTCCCTGTTATGCCATTTGGCTTGAGAAAAGAAAAGAATTTTGGCGTCTAGTGACCTTGACTCTGCATTTCACAATATATTCACCATTGTAACTTTCATTTTAAAAGAAAATGTGTGCACATTTAATAAGCAAGGTGTTATAGAGCTATAAACCTTTAAATGGACAAAAGAAAATCTTTACAGCCTTTAGTCCATTCCTGAATAAATCCCACTAGACAACATATACTTACTGCTTCTCAGAATAAGCTATGACAATTCTTCCTCCTCTATAATATGGTAAATATTCACTACCAAACGGTGTTAAAATTCTGTTTATGTCTTCACATTAAACCTACTAAAGGAAAAATTCAGAATTCAGCCTTCCTCTCTCCTTGGCACACATCGATATACTTAGCATTGCATGTTGCTGGAGAGAAAGCTTAATTGTAAATACCACATGGGAAGAGAACATTTTAATACAGTGTTGTTCATATTTATTTGCTTCGCTTTTTCACTGTTACGTAAGAAAAAAAAGAGCCTGAAATAATCAGTCCATATTATGGACACATTACCAGTCTAGATAGTTGATGATTCATCCATTATTTGGGGGAGTTCTTATTATCTTAATTTGCTCCTTTTCAAAGAAATAATAATTTAGATTCTGCAAACTAGTTCTAAGGAAATTTCCACAAATAAAATCCTGCTGGGCTGATTATCTTAATGCCAAATTCCAACTCAGACCACATTTTACAGCTCAATTATATAACCCTTGGGGGGAAAAGAGAGAACAAGGGTACATAATGAACCTTAACTGCCATATGGTGCAACAGGGCTACAGAATCCTGCCCACTGAAGAACTGAAAACACAACACATGCAGGTTAATAGTGTGTTGACCTTTATTCATGGTTCACGCTGCTTAAAATGGATAAAGGTGTAACAACTTAAAAACATTTCGACTCTGGTGAAAGACTGGAAGAAATTTTTATAAGATATACTATAACAGTTTTATGAGTGCTCTAAAAGAAAAGGGGTGAGCAGGGAGATTAACAACAGCAGAAATGAGATGGAGGCTACACAAAGATTTAAATTTCCTACTCAACAATTCTCTTCAAACTGCATATTTTCTTTAGTTAAACTAGTATTTTAAAATACACTGTTTTTATGGTGAAATACAGAATGCAGAAATCTGACAGATCTGCAACACAGAACACATCACTCCAATTCCCTACTTTCTGACTGGCAATTAACATTTGCAGCTAGATTCATCCCTGCATCAGTGCTAGCACCCGGTCTGAGTAGAGGATGCATGTACCTCGCCTATTGTGTGCTGTTGGGGGACAAGGTACAGGCTGGTGCACTGAGACCGCAATCCAACATGTGGGCTAATACTGTCTCGTTGTTTCTTTATACTCCTGTTGGACTGTCAGTATCCATTTGTTGTCTCTTGTCTTATACTTAGATTGTAAACTCTTTGGGGCAGGGATTTTTGTTCTGTGTTTGTACAGTGCCTAATATAGTGGAGATCTATGACTAGGGCTCTTAGGTTCTACTGTAATACAAGCAACAAACAAAGGCTAGCGCAGCACCAGGGCTACTGTAACTTGCACCTCCTGCAGCCATTACTCATACAGAGCTTGTGGCAGGTGAAAAATCAGGGTGCAGGTCTGCCTTGACTATGTGTGCTCCCACTTCAGTCTACCCCTGGAGTGCCTCTTATGCCAGAGCTTATGTGGATGCAGTGCAGAAATTGCAAAGCATCTCTGCACTGGGTAGCTGAGGGTTGTTCTGTGCAGGGGGCTGTGTCGTCCCCTTGTAGGTGGCACAAAGTGGCCATAGCACCCAGAAGTGCAGTTCAAGTGCTGTTCAAGGTCTCTGTCCTGACTTTCAAAGCCCTGAATGGAATTGGTGCTAGCTACATTTCTCACCTTGAACACAATCTCCCATAACATCTACATAGCACCAGAACAGTAAATGTTGACCAGTGGGAAGAAACTTGTGACTGTGGGAGACAGATCATTCACAGGACCTGGATCAGAACTATGGAACTCACTGCCAGATGAAATAAGAATGCCCACTAACTTCTCTGTATTCAGTGCTAATTGCAAAACCCACCTCTACAAAGAGAAATATTGTTGTATCTCTTAGGCAGTACTACATAGTATGCTTGATGGGTACCAATGTTAGATCCTAGACAGAAAAAGAATTAAGGCTCTTTGCACTATTCATGCTGAACAGCTGATGAGACTTGGGTTTTGTTTATATTTTTGTGATTTTTATAAATGTAATCTTTTTTATAATATTTTTCTGGGAAAGTGAATATACTTGTTTGTACAGAAATGGACACCTGTAGTCTTACAAATAAAAACTCTTCTTCAAACATTCACGTGAATGAAATCCAGCTGCACAAGTGTTTGAGGGAAATTAAACAAAAAACCCAAACAAATATGGCTGCCTGTGACTTTCCTTTTAAGACTGAGCCCATGATTAAATTTCCTCCCATTATCTCAAGTCTAGTAACCATTGCGAGAACCCTAGCTGGCTGGGAGCTTTGCTTAACAACCAGGTAGTTTACAAATATTTTCTCCTTCATTACTGCTAGCAGTAAATGAGTTCATAAAATAAAATAATGAAAACTTTCTTTCACAAGGTTTCAATATTGTAAGACGAACTTTTATGAGGAACAGTCAAATAGGATGGTCAGCATTCTCTAACGTTTTCCAGGCATTCTCTCCAATCCCCCCAGAGTTCTACTATTCTTCCCTTGGCCACAGTATGGATCCTGCATTTCCCACTCCATGTGATTCTCTACAGTAAGAAAAGAGTTCTAGGTTACACTGGGTTTAGCTAACATGCATTAATCTGATCTAACCTTGACTTTTCCCTAGTGTAGACACAGGTTAACACCTTATACCTCAGTTTAGTGGGTTGAGGTTGAGGATTGGCCTCAATTTGCTAAACTGGGGTAAAAGGAGCTAGCAACTCCAACCTAATCTCAATTTATTTTCTTACTCTAGGCAAACTCTGTGATCTTTGTAGAGAGAAAGGAACAAGAGGAGACACTGCCTACATCATTTCTTTTCCCCTCAGAGCAGTTTGGAAGGTAGCAAGGATGGAAAATCTATGTCAGCACTTATTTGTGGCTCTGGAGAGGAGCTACTAGGGGAAATTCATACTCAAACCCAATCCATTGTATGTAGGCCTGCTGAGCTTCCAGGAGCACTGTCTATGGCTGCCTTTTATACCTCTAGGATATTAGAGACACAAGATAGGCGATGTAATATCTTTTATTGAACCAACTTCTGTTGGCAAAAGAAAAGCTTTTGAGCTACACAGTCTTCTTCAGGTCTGGGAAAGTTACTCAGTGTCATATACATACAAGATGAAACAGATTGTTTAGCATAAGTAGCTAACACACATTCTAAGGGCAGGTCTTCACTACCCACCGGATCGGCGGGTAGGGATCGATCTATTGGGGATCGATTTATCGCGTCTCATCTAGACACGGATAAATCGGTCCCCAAATATGCTCCCCATCGACTCTGGAACTCCAGCTTGCAAGAGGCAGAAGCGGAGTCGATGGGGGAGTGGCAGCGGTCGACTCGCCACCGTCCTCACGGCCAGATAGGTCGACCTAAGATACGCCGACTTCAGCTACGCTATTCATGTAGCTGAAGTCGGCGTATCTTAGGTCAACGACCCCTTCCCCCCCCCCCAGGCGTAGACCAGAGCTAAGAGACATTCAAGATGAAGTGGCCTCTTAACACCTTTGCAATCATAGGACAAAAAAGGGAGGGTTAGTGGGTTACAGGGTGTTGCAATAAGCCATAAATCCAGTGTCTTTATTCAGACCATTATTTTTAGCGTCTAGCAAAATTAAAAATTTAAGCTCCAAGGCTAATCTTTTAAAGGTGTTGCATAGGTTTCCTTTGAAGACCAAAAGGACAGATATTGAGTGATCATTTTGTGAAAAGTATTCATCCATGTTTGATATGGTGTTTTTGTCCTATTTTTCTGAGCCAGTTCATTCCAGAGCATAGTGCTTGATTGACTCCAGACGACGTCCCATATAATCAATTTATCAAGACTACACTTAACCGTAGTTGAATTATCTTTGATCTCCAAGGAACTGAACTTTTGCTCCAGAACCTGATACCAAACTAACATGGAGAATTAGAAGAATTCTTTTGCTGACTCCACCTCAAAGAATTCTTTCACAACAATGACCACATTACCACAACTACCTTGTCCACGCCGACAGTCATCAGAAAAAAGAATCATCTCATTGGACACCCCACAGTGGATGAAACCACACTCTTTATCATTGTATTGATTGCTTTGTCCTATGACCGCAAAGGTATTAATGGGACAATTCACCATGAGTGGTCTCTTAGAACATGTGTTAACTACTTATGCTGAAAAATCTGTTCCACTTCATATTTAGCTATGACTTTGAGTAACTTTGCCAGACCTGAAGAAGAGCTCTCTGTAGCTTGAAAGCTTGTCTTTCACCATCAGAAAGTTGATACAATAAAAGATATTACCTCATTCACCTTGTCTTTTTAGTAGCCAGGCACCAACATGGCTACCACCACACTAACTCTAGAATAACCAGGTGTATTCATTGTTCAGCCTGGCAGATTCTTTAGAGGGGTGCAATGAGTGGATTGGTGCTCACAAGAGGTGCCAATCAAATCTTCTCTTTTTTGGCAGCTGGTTCTGCCCCCATGCTGATGAGATAAACTCTTAACATGGGGCAGGGTTTCATACTAGATCACAGAGTCATAGACTGTAAGGCCAGAAGGGACCATCATGATCATCTAGTCTGAACTCCTGCACATCGCTGCCCACTGAACCTTACCCACCCACTCCTGAAATAGACCCATAAGATGAGTTACTGAAGTCTTCAAATCCTGATTTAAAAGACTTAAAGTTACAGAGAATCCACCATTTACTCTAGTTTAAACCAGCAAGTGACCCATGACCCATGCTGCAGAGGAAGGTGAAAAAAAACCCCCAAGAGTCTCTGCCAATCAACCCTGGGGGGGAAATTTCTTGCCCATCCCAAATATGGCAATCAGTTGGACCCTGAGCATGTAGGCAAGACAAGGAGGAAAAGCAGGAAACATCTAGACAACAATCATTTATTTTAAAACCAAAGGAATTATCATTGTTTCACTCCGACTCTCTCTTTAAAAGAGAAATGAAGTGATGTTCACTGCCCTTTAAGGGCTTTGGCTTCATATAGAAGACCAAGTGGTTTATGATGATCCCACAAGCCCTCACTGCAATTAGTTTCATGATATACACAGGGTCATATATTATCATCCACATTCATCTCCTAAACCACCTATAGACCTTAAAATAAGTGGTATTCCATGTATTGAGCAGTCAGGAAGACTTCTGTGAAACAAAGTGCTGAGAATTAAGTTTTGGATGTAAAGTTTCTGGGTTCTCCACCACAAGACAACAAATTACTTTTTTTTCAAAAACAGTTCTCTCTCTGGCTCACACATACCCACAATATCAGCCATAAGCTCCACGATGCACTCATCTCCTAAAGCCCATGGGCGCTTACCATTGAAATGACCATGTACACCTCTGAAAAGGAAGAGAAACAAATGATGAAAATGTATTCTGTTCCCTTTGGTACATTACTAACAACACTAACTCAGTCCGCCTCAATATGGGACTTATATAATCTGAACACAGTACATTCAGGGCTGGTGCTACCATTAAGGTGAACTAGGCGGTTGCCTAGGGCGCCAAGATTTGGGGGCACCAAAAAGCGGTGCCCCCAATTTTTTTTTACAGCATTCCTCCCCGAGCACATGGTCGCCACTCCACTTCTCCTGCCTCCCAGGCTTGCAATGCCAATCAGCTGTTTGGTGCCACAAGCCTGGGAGGAGAATTAGAGCGGGGGTGGCGTGCTCGGGGAGGAGG